GATCATAATGTGTTTACATATGAGACATTTGGAAAAGAAGGGTATGTTTTTTCCATAATTTTCTACAATATTAATCCCTTGCAAATTGAACTCGATTGTCTCTATCTACGAAGTCAAATATAAATATATACTGAAATAGAGACTTTGGTTCATGTTTAAATCTATTCGTAGGTTTTTGAGGTGTACCAAAAACTAAGACTGTTTCTTTCTCATGTTTCTCTTTCTTTACATTAGAGATCAGATATGTATGTAAGTTATTGGTTTTCTGTTTTTATTCTAATTTCATATATCAGTGATTTGATATTTTTCAAACGTATGGTGAATGTGTCAATGTTTCTCAAATATCTGGTTGGTTACATTTACCTGAAAAGGAAATATCATTCAAAACCATGATGCTGTGAAATTTTATGGGACTGCGACGACAGTTATATAGTGAAAATTAACAAAACGAATATTCTAATCATGAAGTTATTAATACATTAGTACATTAATACGTATGACACTTGTAAACTACTAAAAAAAGTCAGAATCCACTTTGCATATATTTTATATATACTGAAATTCATTTATGGAAAACATAGCCCGATATATCGTGCCCAATAACATTAGTTAACATAATTGTCAAGATCAGTAAGTTACAGTTAACCTCGTTATCAAGGGCAGAAACTGTGTTACAGTTAACGTTATTGTTTTGGAAAGATGCTATGCTACAGTTAACCTCGTTACCAAGGGCAGAACGTATGTTGCAGTTATTCTCTTGATCAAAGGCAGAAACTATGTTGCAGTTAACGTCATTGTTTTGGAAATAAATTGCAACTTCCGGTTTTAAAAATTTCACTGCCGGTACCATCTGATAGGTTACTTTACACTGATTCCAAAAATATATATTGTTCTATGTTATGTTTAATGAAATCAGTGCAGGAAATCGCTACATTCGGTTAACTAAGGTCATGCATCTAACAACCTAGTGCAAAAGACCCCATAGCTTTATCATGTATAAATATGAATTTATACCAAAGCTCATAATCTAGAACGTCTAATTTACCTTTGACCTAGACCTAAATTTCAATGCCATAAAGCAAGGATCTCAAATCAAAAGACCCTAGGTCTCTCCTATATATTGATAATGAGTTATATTACAATAAATTTATTTTTAAATATAAGAGGGGAGAAAACTCCAATCAAATGTCAACGTACCCTTTAAACCAAAGTATATTTGCTGTGACATGTCGTAACTAACAATTTAGTAAAAATATTTTGTCAATATCTTATACGGTTTCTGATAAGAAGCTATAATAAGACAAAAATCAGAATTCAAAACAAGACCTTGACATCTGACCTTGACCTCATTTTCTTTTTGGTGGACCCTAGATGTCTATCACGTATGGTTTACCAGTTACAAATACATATCACTTATATCAAATACCTAAGGGGAAATAACTCTCTAATGGAGTTTCCGGATTGCTTCGGTCAAAAATGTTTTTGACATTCTGAGGATGTAAGGGTCAATTTGGAAAAATAAATTTGTCGATTTCTTTTACGGTTGCGAAGAAGTAGCTGTCACATGAAAAAACAGTGTTTTGGGAGATAACTCTTACAAGGAAAAGTGTTCGGTTAAACAGTGTCAGTTTCAAAAGCTTATAGAACTGTTCGATATCATATACCAAATATCTATGCCACATCTTGCGACATAAAATCTCCTTGCAAGAAATAAAAGTGGCGGAAGAAAAAAACATAACAATCAGAACAAAATCAATAGGTCTTTCTACGAAAAAGTGAAAATACCTAATAATACATAATTAATTTCAAAATGCAACAAAATAAAATAAGGATGTATTAAAAATAAATTAGTATGAGATTACATTATCTGGGTATTAAGTTACGAATAGTGATTGTGACAAATGTACACAAACTAATGTAATGTGAACGTGTTTTAGATGAATGAATGAATATTTTATTGCAGAAGCAAACATGATGCTCTAGCAAAATAACATAATTTATAATGACAAAAGTGACAGTAAACAGAGAACAACACAATAAAGTCATAGCAAGCACAGAACTACAACTGTTATGCAATTATAATTTGTGATATTAGCTTCCATGCCGCATTAAGAAATTTACACAATTTTTCCGTTCAATGATCTAAAGGCAGGACATACTAATACAAAATGATACTAATTTTCTATACAATTCATATAACAACATGTACATATACGATTTTCTCTTGCAATATTCAGTTTTAATTTTTCACTACGTAGTTTTGTGAGTAAATTACTATTAAAATCATAATTTAAGTAATCCTCTAAACAAAAATTATTTTCTAATGTTCTATATAAACACAGTTTTTCACAATCGTTCAAAATAGCAAAACAGTTCTGGTAGTGTTGATCGTTTATACGACATTTTATATATTCATAAGATACATTAATGTTCTCTTGATCAATCCATTCATAGTTAGACATAAAATAAATAGTAAATCGCGCACATTCGAAACTCAGTTTCTCATACCATTTGAAGCATCAACGCGTATGAGGGTTATAAATATCATATACAATATTAGGTTTATCATATATTATATGCAACCAAAACTTTATAGTTCTATGTTTCCTTAAAATGAACATAGGTAAATGACCAAGTTCACCACATAAAAAGGCGATTGGTGCATTTTTACCAAGCTTTAATACAAAACGACAAAAAATAGTTCTATGTCATTGGCTCGATGAAATCCCCAAAATTCAGACGCATAGTTAAGTATAGAGGCCACCATACTGTTAAACAAAAAACATGCTTGACTACGTTTAATATAACCTCGCTTGAGAGTGTCGAATAAGGAAGAAAGTGCACTTGGTCCTTGATGAGAAATCATCTTCTGTGATTGCAAGAACTTTTTATTGAAATGTAACAACTTGCCAAAGTAGACATGTGAATTTACAATTTCTAGCTCCTGATTGTCAAAGAAAAAGCGGTTAATAACAGTTTGCCAACCATTTATGAAAACGACTAATTTTGTCTTGTCAGTGTGATCAATTTTGATTGTGACAAATGTACACAAATTAATGTAATATGAACGTGTTTAAGGCCGTGTTCACATTGAGCTAAACCTGGTAGTTCAAACATATTTTATTGTTCAAAAATGACAAATGGATTAGACACAAGTTTTTCAACTTAGTAACGTCTTCTCTAAACTCGGTGTGGTGTAAATGTACTCAACACTTAAACTAAACTCTATTACGTTTCCATCGATAAAATTCAATGTTTACATGTAGTGTAAAACAGGTTTTGACTACATGCAGTCGATAGTCAATGTAGACCTTGTGTGGGTTAAGCGTACTTATATACTATATGGAGTTATTTTCTTTCAGAACGATATAGTAACAAATAATTTTAAATGTGTTTTAATTAGCAATAACATTTGACGTGTCTCAATAGATAGATGTATAATATAAAATTATTGAAAATGTCAGTTTTTGCTAAATATTTTCACATGTAACTAGAGCGTTCGTTTGTTTTTTTATTCATTCAAAGAGATACTATGTTCTAAAACTACATTTTGTATTCACTTTTACTGACAAATAAAAATCTATAAAAATCAGAGAACACAGTGAAGGTCTTTCCACCATTTATTATCTAAATCATTGATAAGAAGCCACTTCCGGTATACACAAAGTTAGTACTGGCGTCAAATCATATTTCTTCAAAATGATTCCAAACATATCTGGTTTCTAAATACTTTTGCCAGAAAGAAGGGAGATACTTTGCTTCTTCCGGTCTAATATGATAGTTTTTTTCACACAGGTTCCAGGTTCATTTATGCTGACTAAAATATATACAGTTCCAGGGAACTTATCCACGACAGAAGTGCAAAAATTGATACTTCTGTCTTACTGATGGTCACTTCCGGTTGACATTTTTCAAGGTCATAGTCTCCCAATGCAAAAAACCCTATGCCTTTATCATTGGCGTATATTCATCAATTTGAATAAAAATGTCACAATTGTTGATTTTTTTTCTTATTTTCGTGCTAATGTTTTGTATTATATTTGTTTCTTTTTCTTTTCTTTTTTTGTTTTTTCAGAATGAATATAAATATCGTTGAAAGAAAAGTGACTAATAAATTGTCGATTATGAGTTGAACATTTGCTTACCTGTCTGCTCCAACCCATCAATGTGTGGTGCACATAATGCGAAACCACAGTACACCGGAAACCACATTTGATAGCATTGTAAAGTGTGATATAAACTTTTGTTAATTTAAAATTTATTACACATGGAAGAATTTTTATTTAATAAACCAAATTTTGTTTGCAAAGAGTGTTGAAATAATGAATTTCCTATAAACAAAACAGTTTGCATGGAGTTCCCTGTTCACAGCAAACTTTCAACCCATAAAACAGTTTCTTCCCGTCCACTGTTGCTCTTAGTTAAAAAGAGTTTGCCTTGCAAGTTAGATAACGCCATAACAAAGTTTGTGCCCTGTTCCTTCGAGCCCATTCATAAGGAGTGAAATCCCTAAAATATTATTCATTATTATATCACGAGATACAAATACAACTGCTACTTTGGTACAACATGAATAATTACTATTCCTTATTTTGTAGAGTTTTGATATTGGATATTAGAGACATATATATATATATATACATAGAAGAAAGTAAGATGCAATCCATTTCCAAAGGCTGCGTTATGATGTTTGTTTTTTTTGCTGCTTTTATTTTTTTCCTATTTTATTTTGCTAATTTTCAAGAAACACGGAAATACGCGTCGAACGAAACAAAAAAACAGATATATGAATTTGATTTTATTGATATCGCAAATAGAAATAAGTCAGCTCGCTTGCACACAAAAGAAGAAATATCCCTCGAATCAAAAGCTATAGTAAAAGGAAAAGGAAGATATAAATTGAAATACCTAAATGGAGTCAAACAAGATGTGATAAGCTGGTCACAATATGGACAGGACCAGTTCATTGACAAGTTGTTCAATAAAAACAAAATGGATTTTTTGTAGAAATTGGAGGTTACGATGGCGAAAACTTTTCCAATACTTTGTTTTTGGAAAAAGTTCGAAATTGGGATGGCTTGCTAGTCGAAGCCAGTCCATTTTTGTATGATATGATGTTGACAAAAGACCGGAAGTGCTATATGGTGAATGCTTGTATAAGTAAAAGTCTGCCAGCAATGACATTTGTGTTAGCTGGTGCAATTACTAGTGCTAAGGAAACACTAACAGATAGGCATAGTAAACGCATAGACAGGGGGAAAATTACATATGCTAAAGATGAACACTGGGCTCACGCCAATGACACGGTTAAGGTGAATTGTTTTTCGTTTCGTAAGCTAATGAGAACTGTAGGGCGCAATTATATCGATTACTTTTCTCTAGATGTAGAAGGTGCAGAAATGCATATCTTAAATTCAATTGAATGGGAAGATCTAAATATTGACGTGTTTATGATAGAAACAGATCAACATCGTGATCAAATAATGTCTTTGATGAAGCAAAAAGGATATAAATGGATACATAAACTAAGCGGAGATGACATCTTTCAAAAAATTAGGTAATTTGTGTTAAGGTATCTTTTTCAATACCAAAATAAATCAATAAATCAAAGCCTTGCTTTTAAGATGTTCATGCCAAGAATCTGGTGAACTATGATCAAATGCATACTTGTGGAAAGTTTGTTTTGAATTCCTTTATGATACAGACGAAGTTGTTTTGGCTTTATGGTACAGACAAAGTTGTTATGACTTTAAATTACATATGAAGTTGGTATGGCTTTATGACACAAACGAAGTTGTTGCGACTTTATGGTTCTGACGCAGTTTTTATGACTTTATGGTACATACGAAGTTGTTATGTTTTTATGGTACAGACTAATTTGTTGTGACTTTATGGAAAAACGAAGTTGTTATGTCTTTATGGTACAGACTAATCTGTTATGACTTTATGGCACAGATGAAGTTGTTGTGACTCTTTGGTACAGACGAAGTTGTTGTGACTTTATGATACAGACGAAGTTGTTGTGACTTTATGGTACAGGCGAAATTGTGATTTTATTGTACAGACGAAGTTGTTGTGATTTTATGATACAGACGAAGTTGTTGTGACTTTATGATACAGACGAAGTTGTTGTGACTTTATGGTACAGACTAAGTTGTTGTGACTTTATGGTACAGACGAAGTGGTGGTGACTTTTTGATACAGACGAAGTTGTTGTGACTTTATGGTACAGACGAAGTTGTGGTGAGTTTATGGTACAGACGAAGTTGTTGTGACTTTTTGGTGAAGACGATTTTTTGATGACTTTTTTAGTACAGACGAAGTTGTTATGGATTTATGTTACAAACGAAGTTGTTGTGGCTTTATGGTACGGACTAAGTTGTTATAGCTGTATTGTACAGAAAAAGTTGTTGTGATTTTATTGTAGAGACGGAGTTCTTATTGCTTTATGGTACAGAGGAAGTTGTTGTGGCTTTATGGAACAGATGAAATTGTTGTGCCTTTATGGTTCAGACGAATTTGTTGCTACTTTTTGGTACAGACAAAATTTATGTGACCTTACTGTACAGACGTAGTTAATGTGGTTTTATGGTACAGACGAAGTTGTGATGGCTTCATGGTATTGACGACGTTGTTGTAACTTCATGGTACAGACGAAGTTGTTGTGCCTTTATGGTACACACAAAGTTGCTATGACTTTATGCTACTGACGAAGTTGTCATGGCTTTATGGTATAGACTAAGTTGTTGTTGCTTTATGGTACAGACGAAGTTGTTGTTGCTTTATGGTACAGACGAAGTTGTTGTAATTTTATTGTACATACGAAGTTGTTATGATTTTATTGTACAGACGATTTTGTTGTGGCTTTTTGGTACAGACAATTGTTATGACTTTATGGTACAGACAAAGTTGTCGTGGCTTTGTGGTACAGACGATGTTGTAATGGCTTTATGATACAGACGAAGATGTTGTGACTTTATGGTACAGATGAAGTTGTTGTGATTTTATGGTGCAGACGAAGTTGAAGTGGCTTTATGGTGCAGACGAAGTTGTTGTGATTTTATTGTACAGACGATTTTGTTGGGGCTTTTTTGTACAGACGAAGTTGGTGTGGCTTGATGGTACAGATAAAGTCGTTATGACTTTACGGTACAGACGAAGTTGTTATTACTTCATGGCACATACGAAGTTGTTGTGGCTTTATTGTACAGATGAAGTTGTTTTGGCTTTAGGGAACAGATGAAGTTGCTATGGGTTTATGGAACAGTTGAAGTTGCTGTGGTTTTAAGGTACAGAAGAAGTTTTTCTGACTTTAATGGCACAGACTAAGTTGTTGTGACTTTATAATACAGTCGAAATTGTTATGGCTTTGTGATACAGACGAAGTTGTTGTGGCTTTATGGTACAGACGAAGTTGTTGTGACTTTATGGTACAGACGAAGTTGTTGTGTTTTTATGCTTTAGACGAAGTTGTTGTGACTTTATGGTACAGACGAAGTTGTTGTGATTTTATGCTATAGACGAAGTTATTGTGACTTTATGGTACAGACGAGGTTGTTGTGGCTTTATTTTAGAAACGAAGTTGTTGTGGATTGATGGTACGGATGAAGTTGTTGTGTATTTTTTGCACAGACGAAGTTGTGGCGTTTTGGTACAGTCGAAGTTGTGATTTTATTGCACAGACGTAGTTATTGAGACTTTATGGTGCAGACGAAGTTGTTGTGGCTTTTTGGTACAAACGAAGTTGTTATAGCTTTATGGTACAGGCGAAGTTGTTGTGGCATTTTGGTACAGTCGAAGTTGTGATTTTATTGTACAAACGAAGTTGTAATGACTTGATTGTGCAGACAAAGTTGTTGTGGCTTTATGGTGAAAACGAAGTTGTGGTGGTTTTATGGTACAGACGTGGCTTTAAGATGCAGACGAAGTTGTTGTAGCTTTATGGTACAGACGAAGTTGTTGTGACTTTATGGTACAGACGAAGTTGTAGTAGCTTTATGGTACAGACGAAGTTGATGTGATTTAATGCTATAGACGAAGTTGTTGTGGCTTTATGGTACAAACGAAGTTGCTGTGGCTTTATGGTACAGACAAAGTTGCTGTGGCTTTATGGTACAGACGAAGTTGTTGTGGCATTTTGGTACAGACGAAGTTGCTGTGACTTTATGGTGCAGACGAAGTTGCTGTGGCTTTATGGTGCAGACGAAGTTGCTGTGGCTTTATGGTACAGACGAAGTTGCTGTGGCTTTATGGTACAGACGAAGTTGCTGTGGCTTTATAGTACAGACGAAGTTGTTGTGGCTTTATGGTACAGACGTGGCTTAATGATGCAGACGAAGTTGTTGTGACTTTATAGTACAGACGAAGTTGTTGTGACTTTATAGTACAGACGAAGTTGTTGTGGCTTTATGGTACAGACGAAGTTGCTGTGGCTTTATGGTACAGACGAATTTGTTGTGGTATTTTAGTACAGTCGAAGTTGTGATTTTATTATACAGACGAAGTTGTTGTGACTTTATGGTACGGACGAAGTTGTTATGGCTTTATGGTACAGACGAAGATGTTGTGGCATTTTGGTACAGTCGAAGTTGTGAATTTATTGTACAGACGAAGTTGTTGTGATTTTTTTTGTACAGACGAAGTTGTTGTGACTTTATGGTACAGACGAAGTTGTTGTGGCTTTATGGTACAGACGCAGTTGATGTGATTTTATGGTACAGACGAAGTTGTTGTGGCTTTATGGTACAGACGAACTTGTTGTGGCTTTTTGGTACAGACGAAATTGTTGTGGCTTTATGGTACAGACGAAGTTGTTTTGACTTGATGGTGCAGACTAAGTTGTTGTGGGTTTATGATGCAGACAAAGTTGTTGTGGCTTTATGGTACAAGCGAAGTTGTTGTGACTTTATGGTACAGTCGAAGTTGCTATGACTTTCTGGTACAGACGAAGTTGTTGTGACTTTATGGTACAGACGAAGTTTTTATAATTTTATTGTACAGTCGAAGTTATGGTTTTATGGTACAGACGAAATTGTTGTGACTTTATGGTGCAGACGAAGTTGTTGTGGTTTTGTGGTGGAGACGATGTTGTTGTGGCTTTATGGTGCAGACGAAATTGTTATGGCTTTATGGTGAAGACGAAGTTGTTGTGGTTTGATAGTACAGATAAAGTCGTTATGACTTTACGGTACAGACGAAGTTGTTATAACTTTATGGCACACACGAAGTTGTTGTGGCTTTATGGTGCAGACGAAGTTGTTATGGCTTTATGGTACAGACGAAATTGTTGTTGCTTTATGGTACAGACGAAGTTGGTGTGGCTTGATGGTACAGATAAAGTCGTAATGACTTTATGGTACAGACGAAGTTGTTATTACTTTATGGCACATACGAAGTTGTTGTGGCTTTATTGTACAGACAAAGTTGTTATGACTTTCTTGTAAAGACGAAGTCCTTGAGACTTTTTGGTACAGATGAAGTTGCTATGGTTTTATGGTACAGACGAAGTCTTTGGGTTTTTTGGTACAGATGAAGTTGTTTTGGCTTGATGGAACAGATGAAGCTGCTATGGGTTTATGGCACAGACGAAGTTGTTGTGGTTTTAAGGTACAGAAGAAGTTGTTCTGACTGTAATGGCACATAGGAAGTTGTTGTGACTTTATAATACAGTCGAAATTGTTATGGCTTTATGGTACAGACAACGTTGTTGTGACGTTTTGGTACAGATGAAGTTGTTGTGACGTTTTTGTACAGATGAAGTTGTTGTGGCTTTATGGTACAGAAGAAGTTGTTGTGGCTTTATGGTACAGACGAAGTTGTTGTGGCTTTATGGTACATACGAAGTTGTTGTGGCTTTATAATACAGTCGAAATTGTTATGGCTTTATGGTACAGACGACGTTGTTGTGACGTTTTGGTACAAATGAAGTTGTTGTGCCTTAATGGTACAGAAGAAGTTGTTGTGGCTTTATGGTACAGACGAAGTTGTTGTGGCATTTATGTACAGTCGAAGTTGTGATTTTATTCAGACGAATTTGTTGAGACTTTATGGTACAGACGAAGTTGTTGTGGTTTTATGATACAGACGGAGTTTAAATGATTTAATGGTACAGACGAAGTTGCTGTAGCTTTATGGCACAGACGCAGTTGTTGTGGTATGTTGGTAAAGGTGAAGTTGTGATTTTATTGTACAGACGAAGTTGTTGTAATTTATGGTACAGACGAAGTTGTTGTTGCTTTATGGTACAGACGAAGTTGTTGTAATTTTATTGTACAGACGAAGTTGTCATGACTTGATGGTAAAGACGAAGTTGTTGTGGCTTTATGCTACAGACGAAGTTGTTGTGACTTTATGGTACAGACGAAATTGTTGTTGTTTTATGGTACAGACGAAGTTGTTGTAATATTATTGTACAGACGAGGTTGTTATGATTTTATGGTGCAGACAAAGTTTTTGTGGCTTCATGGTACAGGCGAAGTTGTGACCTTATGGTACAGACGAAGTTGTTATGGCTTTATGGTACAAACGAAGATGTTGTGGCTTTATTGTAGAGACAAAGTTTTTATTACTTTATGGCACATACGAAGTTGTTGTGGCTTTATTGTAGAGACGAAGTTTTTCAGGCTTTATGGTACACACAGAGTTGTTATGACTTTCAGGTACAGACGAAGTTGTTGTGACTTTTTGGTACAGACGAAGTTGTTGTTGCTTTATGGTATGAGTGTCTTATGTCATCGTTAATTGCAAAATAACCGAACACATTGAGTCTAGACTTTTTATAAAGGCGGCACAATTCTATCCAGGAATGCATTTATAAGATTTGTCAATTTTATAAACAAATTTAAAAGCTTCTAAGTTATAATCACTCATATTTCTACAAAAGTAGTATTATTATATCTTTGCTTTATTTCATTTTTTTAAAACTTTGAGTATTGAGGGGAGGTTAATTGAGAAAATGTATAATTTATAAAGGAATCTTCGGGAATTTTTTTCTTTTTTTCTATTCTATGTATTTTATAGTGTGTCTTTCTATGTTGTGATGCTACACTATTATATCAGGTTAGGGTGAAGGTTGGCGCCTGTTAAAACGTTTAAACCCGCTGCATTTGTTTGCACCTGTCCTAAGTCAGGAACCTGTTGTTCAGTGGTTATCGTTTGTTGATGTGGTTCATAAGTGTTTCTCGTTTCTCGTTTTTTATATAGGTAAGAGCGTTTGAATGGCTTTACACTAGTCATTTTTGGGGCCCTTTATAGCTTGTTGTTCGGTGTGAGCCAAGGCTCCGTGTTGAAGGCCGTACTTTGACCTATAATGGTTTACTTTTACAAATTGTGACTTGGATGGAGAGTTGTCTCATTGGCTCTCATACCACATCTTCTTATATCTATATAACAGGAAAAAACGTATGGTGATCCCAATTTTTTTGTTTTTGATATTCTGAAAGCTTTTTATAAAAGCTATCTCCTCATAT